CAAATCAAAAATCTCATCCAGTCGAAGATCCAAAGAAGCTCAAACATATGTTTGTTTACTTCGTAATATTGATTGTGGTTGAATTTTTTTTTTTCCCAAAAGAAGTTAATATGCCGTATCGAATTTATTATTTATGAATTTTGATACTTATTTATTTTCCCCCCTTGCTGTTATACGATGATAGATGACAGAGACCAATATACTGTTGAATTGGAAAAGCAGTCAAAAGATTCAGACGTAATTGTTTCTTAAGAATTCCCTCATATTTTGAGTAAGAAAATGATCAATATTTTGATTGATGGTTTTTTTTTTTTACCATTTATTAGATCTGGACGATCTCAATCTTTTGACAATATTTTTTCAATGAAAAATAAATAAACTCTTCATCAGATCAATCAAATGACAAGTATTATTTAATCTTAGTCTAAACATAACCGTGTGTTCTAATTGAATAATCATATTAAATGGATTATATATTTATATTTGCAAATGTTGAAGTTAATTTAATAATATAATTTATACAAAGTAAAGAAACAATTTAAATATTGTTTATACAAATTTGCAATTTAATTTAATAAAAAAATTGAAAATATTTTTTTTCAAAAAAGTCTAACCAACAATGTGAATTCGTTTTTAGATGGGCATTTCCTACCCGCCCTTCTTGACCCGTAGCCCATATTCCAAGCACTGGCGCATTGAAGAACACACCCTGTTAATCACTTTCACAAATGCTCTTTTGAATAGTTGTCCATTTTCTTGGGTTCAATTCATATTTAAAATTTTGTTAAGACATCTAAACATAGTCTTGCGATCGACTTCCTTTTGCAGGCTAAGCTTGGTCTTCTTCTTTTACGTATTGAAACGTGTGGGAATGAGAAGCTTTTACAGCGATATGCGCTTCAAGACCTCAAATTAAAGAACGACTTGATATTTTTCCAGCAATAGAAAGAATGGTAAGAGAATGTGTCAAAATGTGTCCATTTCTTCAATGAATATATATATATATATATATATATATATAATGGAGTATATTGATGTCCTATTTATCTTTACTTTCGTACGTATTTGGAAAACGTTTTTGCAATTGAAATTTGATAGGAAAAAATGAAACTTTATTGAAAGATTTAAAGGTTTTGATATATTTGGCTTTCCCATATAAAGTTAGTACGTTTTTTTTTTCCAATGAGATTTTTATTCTCACAAATTTTCTATGAACAAATAATTATCCATCAGAAAAATCCTCTTTTAATGTTTTCTATCTTTTCCTTAATGCCTTTTCTCTTTCTTTCCTTCTTTGTTGGGTTTTGACACAGATGTAAATGGTGGAGGAAAGATCAAGACTACTAATAGCCTGTTTGGTTCACTGAATGATAAGGAATGAGTGTAATGTAATGGATAGGAATGTAATGTAACGTAATGATGATTACAATAAGTTTGTTTGGTGCCATGTTAGGAACGGGGTAGCAAAATAATTTTTTCATATTTACTTAATTACAGATAAAATTAAAAGGACAAAAATATCCTTATCTATAAAAAAAAAAGAAACAAGAAAGCCTCCTCCTGTGTCCTGTACTCCTTCCTTGTCGCAATGGAAATCTGTCATCCCTGACCAGCGTCACTCACGAATCTTTTCGACCCCTTTTGGTTACTAGTTCAGATGATATTCGAAACCCACCTACCATATCCTCAAGGTATACTACTTTCGAGTTGCTTCGCTGGAGACTTTTGATTTGCAATAAAATCTCTTTTTCACTTCAAAAAAAGAAGGAAGGAAGGTAGGTGTGTTGGAGGTTGGGGCTGGATAAAAAAAGGCCATGAGTGGGAGAGAATGAGGTTGGGGATTGAGTTCGATGGCAGTAGTGCTCTAATTGTGTCTGACTTTTTTAAGGGTAATAATGTATTTTTCTCATCATGTAATCCTCATTCACAGGGTCTATCTATATAATCTGGATACAGGCTTTTAAAGGAATCAGGATAACAAGATGTAATTTTGTTTACGTTGTAAAGCCCAACTAAACAATTGAATCAGATTTTTACATTAAGATTACATGTAATCATCGTTCCTGTAATCCAACCAAACAGGCCATAAATGGGCAAAAGTAGAATCTGGGGGACTTGAAGTATGTGTTTAAGTCTCATAGGAGAATCCAAACCTATTTCTATTTTCAAAATAGTTAAATATTGATGAAATTCCTATATTAATTATCCGATGGCATTTAAAATAAAATATAATTGACCCCGTGATTTTTTTTTATGAAATGAAAAGGTTTTGGTAATTTTAATTAAGAATTATATGGGCTCCAAGCCCCCTCCTCCGCCCATTTAAAAACAAAAACTAATCCCGTCAGCCCAACACGTCTTTCAGTTCTTCTAAAAGCCATAAGCCCACAACTGGTGAACCAACAATCCGTTCAATATGTAATGTAGATGTATAGCCAAAAAGTTCCTTTTCTCTTTGGGTTTTTTCTTTTGGGATCAAGACCCAGCATGGCAAATTAATATTTAAATTTTTGTTAGCATATATACCTATATTTAGTGCTCGATAATGTCTGAAATAAGATTGTTTCTGATAAGAAGATATCTGCACCTATTGAGAAAAAAAAAACTCATATATTAGTGCCACCTTGTTTGCCTTTCCACCCCACCCATCCATGCTAACCCCAAAGTAGTCGGCATATTAGTTCTCTCTTAACAAATCAGCCACACATTAATATTGAGCTGACTCATGTTAGCTAGAACGGCCAACTTAGCAGTGAACCATTGTATAGAAGGGCAAAATAGGAAAATAAAGATTGAATACTCTAGATATTATCAAACTGAATATATGTGTTTTATCAAATCAAATTTGGGGGGGGGGGCTTATATTATAGAGCGGAGGAAAATAAATTTATCATGGGGAATGGATATACTTAATTAGAACGTGGAGTGGAATAAAATTTAATAGTAATTGTTTACTGCCGTTTAGTGGATTCTTATTCCCATCCCATAATAAACAATGAAGGAGATAACAAATCAAAGAAGGGAGAATAAGTAGATTAGGAAAGAAAGAGAAAGATGAGGATTGTTTATTGATAAATAAATAAATTTCACTTCCCTCTATTTGTTTTAAATTAATTACACTGACTTTTTTATTTTAGTTTAATTATATATATGAGTTTCTTTATATTTTCAAAACTTGTATAAATAATTTTTTTGAAATAAAAAGTTGAATAACATAGTATTCCACTATTTTCATAAAACTATTAATTGATTGTAAAATCACATATTTTGAACTAAAATATGCATAATTAATATAAATATGATTTGAAAATAATTTAAGTTTCTAAGAAAAGACTAACACATCGTTTTAAATTTCTTTATTTAATTTAATTTTTGTGCAATTTTTTAGTGATTTTTTAAAGTTTAGATACATGTGTTATCTAAATAATATTTCAAACGTGTACTTAATGAATTAAAAATTTACATAATGACCAATCTATTTTTCAAAATAATTTATGTTTATTTTATTTTAGGTTTTATTTATTTTAATATAATATTTTGAAATAATATTTATTCAAATATTGCCTTATTTGATTATTAAAAATTACATGCAGGGAAAAAAATCGGTACTAAAGAAGGATAAAATGAAATTTTTTTTTTGAAGTGTTAGCCAATTTTTAACTATCTATCTTGGGAGACGTGTGTGTAAGATAAAAATTCCTTGTAACTCAAACGGAGTATTGATATCAACTAGAGCATGTCCTATACATACACTTGTGTAAAAATAAAACTTGAAATAGTCATATTATTAATGCTTTAAGTTATATACTAATGTGTTGATTTTAGATGTGCGAAAATATGTATATTGACATTGATATGCACATAGTAATAGTTTATACTGGGTTGTTTGTACCAAATATCATATAATAATTTAATGTACCACAAGTACTAAAATTAATCTTAGGAAAACTAGACCGATCTTTGGATTGGTGGATGCACTAGTTTATGGTTTAGTGGTTGGTTTGGGGTTGAGTCATGATTAAATCGGTCAAGAATAAATTAATATATTAAAATTAAAAAAATCGTCCATAATAATAAAAAATATTATTTAAATCCAAAAAATATTTTAAAAAAGGAAATATTCATAAATGCTGTATTATTTTCAAGCAAAAAATATGTACTTATTTCATAATTTACAAATGCATACATTCATGATACATATTTCTTATGTATTTGTTAATTTTCTTCATTTTTATGCTTATTTGGTATAAATATGCATAAATTGAAGCATAGAAATATAGATTAAAATTTAAAAAACATAAAAATATGTGTGAATAGTTTATGGTTTACCTGATCTGACCACCGATTCGATGCACCTCTGATTTTATGTGATGTTCGGATTGAATATTAAACAAGTTTAATTTGTGGTTTAATAAATCGAATCAACCACCAACTAGTCTAATCTAATTTTTAGAACATTGTAGAATATTGAATTATTGATGTTAACTGTGTGTTGAACTTGAAGTGGGAGGCCCTACCACAGCCAACATGAATAAATTCTTTATAAACTTTTTTTTATATATATAATAGAAGAATCCCTGCCACTAGTATCTTTTTGTTCTCTTATTTCCATGTCTTCCAATAATATTTTGTAACATACTATTATTTCTAATTACAATTTTGAGGATCATTTAATGCACAAAATAAAATAAGATTGATGAGAAAATAAGTAATTTTTTACATGAGCAGTAGCACATATATTTTTAAATAAAACAATAAAGAAAATAATTAGCAGTAATAAATAAAAGCATCCTTTATATCAACTGATATGATATAATATCTCATGTCGTAAGGTACTACTATTTATAACTGAATTATACTTTATAAGTAAAATAGTTTGTTGTAAATTATATCTTTTACATATCGATATTATATTTTAATTAAGAACGATTTTTCCCCGTTATAAATAGCCCACTTCATACATCATTTCACCCCAAAACAAGCTCAAACACACCCTCAGTTCTTGACTTTAGTTTCCTCGCCCCTTTCCCCCTCTCTGTCCTTCTCTCACCGTCTCAAAAGCTAGCGGCCGCGGCGCCCTCGCTAGCGGCGGCAGCAAAGACGATGAAGAACTTATGTGAGGTTGTGGATGGGTTGAAACCAACCATACTAATGGTGGTGGTTCAACTATTTTATGTTGTGGTTAACATCCTTTACAAACTCGTCTTCTATAACGGCATGAGCTTGCGAATTGTCATGGTTTATCGTTTCGTTTTCGCCTCTGCTTTCTTGGCTCCTCTTGCTTTCTTTTTGGAAAGGTAAAACTTGCTTCATTTATTTTCGGAAAAATTAATCATTAATCATTTGGTTCTTGTAGTTTTCACTTGGATACAACTTGTTCTTCAGTGTAACTCAATTTTTACAGTCTTGACTCGATTAAAATCTGATCCACTTAAAATGTTATCCCCACCTTTTAGAAAATAAAATTATTAAGGACTAAAGTAAATTTTTTCTTAAAACTTAGGGCTAATGTTTTAAATGGCTAAACTATAAGTATTGAGTTACATTGAGTCAGGGACAAAGTTTCAATTGAGTCAGAACTATAGAGATTAAATTTCACCGAATTAAAACTTAGAGATTGAATTACAATTTAGGCAAAACAGTAGTGTTGAGTTGATAGATGCTTATTGCGAATTGTTTGCAGGAAGAAGAGGCCAAAGATGACTTGGACTATACTGTTTCAGGGGCTTATATGTGGCTTATTTGGGTATTAAATTTAATTAATTAATTCATCAGTATTGTTATTTTATTTTCAACTTATATATAAAGTTCTAAAAAAATGACACTATATATGATTTATGTATATTAGAGGAACATTGTCACAAATATTATACTTGGAGACGCTGGCCTTAACAACAGTAACTTTTGCTTCAGCGATGAACAATCTCGTTCCAACCGCCACCTTTATTATGGCCCTCTTCTTTGGGTAAACCTTCTTTGCGATACTTTTTTTTTCCCCATGTTTTCCTTTAATAAATACGATCACTATTATTTTTTTGCTTTTCTCTTTGATTTTTTTTGCCTCAATAGTCTTTATTAGTTACATTTAGTGTAAACTTTAAGTTTTCTTTTAGTTATTTGTTTGTCTTCATCACTTCAATACATTTATTTGATTTAAGAGATGTTTATGTAAATTTTAAAAATAGAAGAAAGGTCTCTATATTTCGTGTAAAATAGAATGAAAGTTAAAGTATTTTATTCTTATTAATTAAATTTAGTGTAACCTTTTTCATTTGTTTATTTATTTTTTTCTGTCGGCCAAAAAAATTATTTGTCATCAACATTTCACCAATACACTTGGGCTTAATTGCGTAGTTGGTAGTTGCCTTGTAGTGATCTTTATCCTTTGACCATTGTTAGAGACTTCCTACTTGGTTTCCACTACTTGCACTTTCATTTCTTGGAAGACAAATAGCAATTTTAAATTCTAAAAAGAAAAATTACATTTAAAGTATATATAAAAATCTCCGTGCAAGATTTCAAATTTAAACTATTCGCCATAGCAGTCATTGAGGGGTTTTTTTTTTTAATTAATCTTCTCATGTCTCCCTAATCCATATACTTCTCTGATCCATATTGCATGCTAGTTAAGGGATTGGTTTTAGTCAAAACAAAATATTTTGTAAAATAATAAGATTTCACACACGTGCATAAATTATGAAAATCAAATTAAAATTATATTGAATGAAATTATAAATATTTAAAAAATAAATATTAATATGTTACTTTAAGTTCTTTAAAAGAGATTAAAATTGACAATAAAATGTAGTTTTTTTTGGGGGAAAATTGCTGAAAAAACCAGAATTATGAAATTTATTGTCCCCAGGCACTTAGGGACTCAGGTTCTGGTGGGTATAAGTCATTCAACGAGTGCAATTCTTATTCAGTTATGTTTAACATATCTTCAATTATGTGCATAATGAAAGAAAAGTTGCATCTGATTCAAAATAAGTTATATTTGTGTTTTAAACGAACAAATTTCAGGTATCTTTGTACAATGAATTTTGTAGTGAGTGATTTTATTTTCTAAAATTTTTCTTAACTTTTTTAATGATAAAAACCACATATAAGACACATAAACATATACATACATATATATTTTCTGCATTTAACTTTTGTGGTTATTAGCTTAGAAAAATTGAATTGGAAAGCAGCAGCCGGGAAAGCCAAGATCATTGGAACCCTTGCGGGAACCAGTGGGGCCATGCTGCTAACATTCTGCAAAGGTGCACGAATACCCACACACTCCTTCCACGTCAGCCTTTTGCATCCCCACAGCAGCCACGTGGCATCTCCCCACTCTTCCTCCGGTGGTAATACGCTTTTAGGTGCACTCTGCGCCTTGGGTTACATCTCTTCTTATTCTTTGTGGCTCATCGTTCAGGTCCCTTTTTGCTCTGGCACCTGTCGCTTTGATCGTTGATATTGTCGTTTATTGAAAGTTAACACATTTTATGCTTGTGCAGAACAAGATGAGTGAGAGATATCCATGTCATTACTCGAGCACCACATTGATGAATTTAGCAGCGTCGGTGTTTTCTATTGGGTTTGCTCTTTGCACTGAAAGAGATTGGAATCAATGGAAATTGGGATGGAACATAAGGCTCTTAACTGTGGCTTATGCGGTATGTTATTTTATTTTAGGTTCCTTTGGTTCGATTTATTGAATTTCTCTAGAAATTCTAACAGGGCATCTTATATTGTGTATCATGCATGAATCTCCGATCATAATTATAAGACTTCATTTGTAATCTATAAACAAGATTTTATAATTAGGATGAAGTAGTATCATAATAAAAAAGGTAAAGAGACTCTTAATACTTCCAACTTCCCTGAGAGATTTTGGAGCATAATTAAAGGCGTATGTGATTTTGTATGTTCACACGCAGTTTGATCACAGAGAGGAGTCGGAGTTTTGGTTTTATAGCTGCACTGAGAGGAGAAGAAGAGTCTATAGTACAGAGCGGATGCTGACAGTTTTCGTTTTTCATGCAGACATTTAGTCTATGAAGAAACTGTTCCCACTAATAAAATGCGTATTATACAAATTTAAATAATTAACCACTCTAAGTCAGACTCCTAACCTTATGAGCTTGGGCCTAATCTACAAGGATATATCAGGCGTGCTTTAACATCCCCTTTCTACTTATCTAATTTCCTATTTTAAGTTCAATATGTATATATAGTTATGATCCATTAAAATATATATATATTTCCATGTTTAAAATCAAATACTTATGGAAATTTACTTGGTATTTTGAGTGTGTGTAGGGACTAGTGGCAGCAGGGTTGAGTGTGGTGATCATAGCATGGTGTGTACGCAAGGGAGGGCCTTTGTTCGTATCAATATTTAATCCTCTCCAGCTTTTGTTTTTGGCTTTTGTTGGATCTTTCTTTATGGAAGAAATGCTTTATCTCGGAAGGTATAGACATCTATCCATCTTTGCCCCTTCAATTTCTTTTCTTTTCTTTTTTTTGTTATTATTTTTGCAAGTGAAAATTTAAGACAAAATAAGAAGACATACTTATTTTGGGATTCAAAATATTAATGGGATTAATTTTTCATCAATGGAATATATTTGAATGCAAATAATTAAAAAGAAAAATTTATAAAAATCAACACACATTTTCTTTTTATAAATAACTAACTTAACGAAATTTCTTAATATCTACAAATTAATTATCTAGCTTTTACAATTGGGATTGGAAGGAGAATTTTTTTAATATATTCATTATTTTCTGATTTAAGCAACATAAAGTGAATGTGGACAATTCAAATTGTCGTTGTCATATGCTGAATTAAGTAATAAATACTAATATGAGTTTTGTGCATTAAATGAAATGTGAAAAATGAGTTGCTTATACGACTCATTAATAGTACAGCTAATTAGTTAGAGTTTTTATATCACAGATAAATCCTATAAACAATGTAATGAATTAAATGATTTGGATTATAATATATAAAATTGTGATCATTATTTGCAGTATAATTGGAGGAGTGTTGATAGTATGTGGATTATATATGGTTTTATGGGGCAAAGGCAAAGAGATGAAGATGAAGAATCTTTTAGGCGTATCTTCCATTGATGACGACGAGAAAGGCAACCACAACAATAATAATATTAATCCTTCACTCGCTGTTGATAGGGATCACCAAGATTCATCAGAAAATGGAAATCAAGCAATAAAAATAGCTAGATGGGAAAAAACATGCAACATCTAGAAATGTCTCGTACACTTAAAAAGATACCGTCTCCAGTCTTTAGTATAAAATCCAACTGATTAATTTGAGAAAATTAAAAAAATTAAAAAATTACTTAATTATAGCATATGTTACATAATTTTTTTTTTTAAAAAAAACTTATGTGTATCATTATATTATATATGGTTTATAAGTAGAGTAAATTAGTTTTTAAAAAAACCAATAAATATGATAATTTAAAATAATTTATTTAATTTTTATAATCTTTCCAAATTGATCAACTGAGTTTATATTAAAGACTAGAGGTAGTAATGGGCATTAATTTTCAGTGGTTTAGGAAAAACATTATTTCAGCATCTCATCGATGTACTTTTTGGAAATCCTGTAAAACTGTTTCTTTTTTAAGTTGTTCCATATTTTATTTTTGATAATAAGAAAGTTTTTGCTAAAAGTATATTAAAAAAGGATTATTTTAATTTCCCGCAAGAAATATTCATAGATTACATTTCTTCCGTCAAATCCCCATAAAAAAAACAAAAGTCCCCAGCAAATAATGGCATGTGTAAGAAGAACCAACAAACAAACAATAACGCCAAAAAAAAGGACAAAAAATTATGATGACTTGATTCAAAATTAATTGAAACTATAAGGATTGACAATTTTTTTTTAAATTCTAACAACCAGTGTAATATGTTGTGCCAATACTCCTCCGGTCCCTAATATAAGACCTATTTAACTAATTTGATTAGATTAAGTAAGTTAGGCAAGTTGTTTAATTATAAGAAACGTGACACATTTTTTTAAAACACCATAATTATCTTTCTTAATACCCCATCTCCCTCTTCTACTTAATTATGGTTGAGGGAGTATTCATAGAGGTAATTTAGAGAAAATTGATAAATATGAGAAATGGGTCTTATATTTAGGACCAAAACTAACTCAACAATTGGATTCTATATTAAGGACTAGATGAGTATTATTTCTGAACTTGCAGCTTGACTCCTCATCCGGTTAATTTTTTGTTTTTTTAGTGACAATTAACGAGCAAGGCACGAATGGCCTCCAAACAATTTTCTTAATGATTTTTGACAATTTGTTTTGATGAAATAACAAACTGATATTGCAGATTAAGAAAAATCAGCATACAGTTGCATATGAGACAATCCTCAAGCAAAGTAAAGGCTAGAAAAGGTGGGAGAGTGAAAGCACCCAGCCCACATGACTTTTTTTTTTGGCCGAAGACTTTTATTATTATTGGAAATCAATTTTTTCTCACAATTTTTTACTGGAAAATAAAATCACAATTTTTTTTTCATAATTTGATATTTTTAGGGGGGGGGCTCTCCGCAACGTAGCAGATGACGTGCAGTACATCGCACTGTGCTATGTATCAGATGAATAGTTATTCATGTGCATTGAACTGAATTGTAAATAATTAAAGGAGATTCCAATATCACTAATTGTTAATTAAAATGAATAGTTTTATGAGATTTTATGTAAATTCCAAGCAAATAACACACAAATATAAATTTGTGAATTGAGGAAATTCATCAGTTGTCTCAATCAAGAGTGCTAGCAGGGTTAGGTTAAAGACTGGGAAATGGAAGACATCAAAAGAGGAGACAAAAGGGATGTCGGTGCTTCTTCTGGGGCTTCTAATGAAACCTCAAAAATTGATTTTTCTGAAGCAAATCAATTTTCAGCAGATCAAAAATCTAATCCAAGCGAAGATCCAAACAAGCTCAAACAGTATGTTTGTTTACTTGTAATATTAGTTGTGGTTGAATTTCTGTATAAAGAAGGTTGATATGCCATATCGAATATATTATTAATGAATTTTGATGCTCATCCCCCCCCCCCAAAAAAAATCGCTGGTATAGGATGAGGGATGATGAAGACCAATATATTGTGGAACTGGAAAAGCAGGAAAAAGATTTAGAGGTAATTTTTTCTAAGAGTTCCCCTCAAATGACAAGTATTATTTAAAAAGAGTTAGTTTCTTGGCTTAAATAGAGTCTAGATTGCATAAGATGCAAACTTTCTGCAAATACATACCTCTGGATCTATAATGAACTCTTTAGATTTTTATTTTATCAAATATTGTTAATATATATATATAAATATATGAATTTCTAGATCACCGCAGAGGCGCAGCATATGTAAAAGTAAAGATGATAATTCGAGTTAACTAGGTTAGGTTTAGTGAAGTGAAGGGAGTTAATTCTTTATAATTTGGTGAATTAAGGTTCGACTTTTTACTGAAAGAGATACCTGCATTTAGTACTCGACAGTATTAAACAAAATTACATCCAATAAGAGGATACTTTGCCTTAAAAAAACAAAAAATTTGGAGTGGGCTGTGCGCCTCACCGATCAGTTTATCATAGGTTTGGAAAATAAAAGCCTATTTTGAGGCCGAATTTTTTTTTAGCTCACTCCACTTAATTTTAATTTTAATAAAAACGAAGTTATCTTTTTGCATTTAATTCAAACACATAGTCTTGTTTTACTTTAAGAATTTGATTCGACGTTTGACTTCTTTTTTCTATTATTTATCAGTTTAATATTGAAAGAATAAGTATGTAAAATAAATTTTATGTTTATATTAAAAAATTTTACAATAAATTTAATTATATAATCTTATGAAAATATAAAAATAATTTAAATATTTGAGCCAGGTCTTTCTAACAAACCTTGCTTAGCCCATCCATGACCCCCATTCCAAGTTAATACATTAGAATAGGGATGAAAACAGGTTAGGCTTGAGCATAAGCCTATATATAGGTTTTCTTTTAGGCTTAGACCTGAGTTTTCAAAAGGCCTGACAGGTTCAAAGCCTTTTTAAAAGCCTACTTGCAATATAAGCCTTTTAAAAAGACCTCATGTTTGAAGCTTGAAAGACCATAAATAGACTTTGATCCTGCTAAAGCTTACACAATTGTGAGTTTTTGGTATACTTAGAAGTCTACATATTTTAATATTTTAATATAGGAAAAACCATATCAGAGGTACCTATGTTTCTCTCAATTTTTAATTTGGTACCTTTGTGTTTTTTCCTCTTAATTAAATAATTTAATTTTAGTTTTTTTAAGTAATATTAGCTCTTGTAACTTTGCTCTATTAGCATTTTTAGTGTCGATGTAAGGATTAACGATATTAATAGAGCAAAATTAAAGATTTAATTAAGAGGGAAAAACATATAGATACCACATTGAAAATTAAAGATAACGTATAGGTATCTCCAATATGATTTTCCCTTTAATATATATATTAATAAAATAAATTTAAAAAATTAATTAAGCTAGGCTTTAAATTTAATTTATCTTAAAATGCTGCTAAATAGGCCTTCTGCCTGGCCTATTTGCTAAACAGCCTAGCCTATTTCCATCATTGAATTAGAAAACACGTAGTAAATTATTCACAAATGCTCTTTTGAATAGTTGTTCATTCTTTTGGATCATTTCATAAAGGGAGAATTACAATAGGTCTTAAGGAAGGAATTTAATTACTTTAAATTTTATTGACAATTGAATGGTAAGAGAATGTTGAATATTACTGTAAAAACTACCTATGTATACTCGTTGAAGATCACATTACTACAATGAAGACTTTTTACTTCTGTTTTGCATGATTTTTTACTTCTCTTTTGTGAGGAGCATGAAAAAAAAAGACATAAAAAGTATCCCTTTTTTTATTTTTGTTTTAAACAGAAGAGAATAATGGTATTATTTACTTCTGTTTTGAGCAGAAGTAAAAACCCACTTTTTTACTTCTGTTCCTCCATAAACAAACGTAAAGTTACCTCTGTTTTTCTTAAACTAGACATAAATTTATGTTTGTTTTTGGTAAAATAGATCTAAATTTACATCTACGTCTGTTTTAGTAAAACAGAGGTAAATTTACGTATGTTTTGGTATAAAACAGAGGTAAAAAAAATGATTTTTTACTTCTATTTTGAAAAACAGAAGTAAAAAGTTTTCCCATTTACTATTGTTTTCCTAATACAGACGTGAATGTGCTCTTTTTTTTTTAAAAAAAAATTCACTTTGTAAATACCACTTCCCCTAAAGCCACAATAGCCATAATAGTCACTTTCCAGCAAGTTGAAATAGTATGAACCAGTCAATATTTTCAGCCAAGACATATCAAGATCATAGCTTCATCAATATATTAACACATTAACTAACTAGTCAAAAAGAGGAACAAATTGCAAAAGTCAAAATTGATAACCTGTTATCTCTAAACATAAACTTGATCAATCCCTAGACCACCATTCTTGAAGCAGTTGCTATGCCAAAAGGCCTCAGATGAAATCAATATCATCAACAGTATATGAGTAGTCATTATCAAAAATCTGTAAATTGACAAATGAATAAATTTAAACATATGAAGAAAATAAAATAAGTAACAATTCAATTTAAAAATTCAACAACTATTACAAAACTAAAATTATATTTACTTACCTCATCAAATTTTACAGTACATCCACTCTCAATAATTTCAAACATATAACGAATAATGTAATATCCACATTCCGTTGACCCTTATTACTTAGCACACTGCAAATCACAAGGAAATGATAATCCAAATTCATATATAAAATAACTTCCATCAATGAAAGAACTTCAATTCAAAATATTCACGCTGGGATAGACCCAAGTTGTTGGGCCATTTTTGTCAGAATGCTTCCCACCGGTTATATGATAAGTCTTTAAAGCCCTATAAGCAAATGAAAGCACAAGTTAAATAATTTATAGTGAAAACAAAATTATTGATCTACATTAAGGTACTTACGTGTTAAAAATGCCCCTCATCTCAGTACTTGGACGATGACCCAAGGGATCAAACCAGTAGATAACATTGTTGATGGGACAAGAAACACACAAACTCCAATGATGACTACGTCATAGAGTAAGATTTATACATTATTAGATATCACAATAATTCTTAGCAATTTAAGTATGTATAAATAAATATAATTAAGCTACTTGCCCTTCAATAATTGGTGCCAAATAACAAGACAATTTAGTGTCTCCAATTCTATTGCCCACATATTTGATTCTCCTATCTAGTGGGTTGTACTTCTTCTGGACACTTGCAGGGCATAAATATCCATACAAATTT